ATGCCAGTGAGACAATGAGGGAATTTAACTATTATTAGATATCAAGTGTATGACACATGTAGATATGAGTGTTATACTATTATTCCAAGTTTTCAGTAACTTTGAAAATTTTCAAACTAAAAATTGTCGGGAGACAAATAAGGAAACAAACTGAAAGAAATTAATTTGATCCTGACCTGAACATTTCATTCTTTGGACACTGTCTCCACAAAGTCCTGTTGTCACTGTCAAATGTGGCACATGAGCTGTCAGACAAGTGTTATAGGTTTTATTTTAATATGCATCTGCCCAACACAGTTATTATTCTACCGGCTATTTCACAAAGCTGTTTGGGAAAATACCTGCTCATTACACACAGCAGGTCCAGGTTGTCCACGGAATGGCGCCAGGCAGTTGCAGCCCAGTCGCTGAAAGATCACAGGTGCCTGGTAGATGTTTTTTAGCAATGGGTAACTCAACCCTGCATCTCTGGCAGGTCTCGTGCCCTGCATTCTGTTTACTGGGACAAGGTATCTATCCATCAGCTTTGCAGTAGAGCCCGACCTCACGCTTCAATTACTACTGTCCTTGGCCTTCTAGCCTTTGAAACATCTCACCCAAGTAACAGCGCCTTCCCCACCTTTAAGAGTGCATTAGCCCTCCTATTTCTCCCACCTTCGGAGCACGAATATCTTCAAGACTGTCATAATTTCGAAAACTCATCACATCAGGTCCAGCACAAGTGTCGGGGGTGAGTAACAGGGAGAAGTTATAAAGCAGTGTCAAAGATCTTCAAAGCATGAGTGGGAGGCTCGCAACAGGTCTGGAAAGTGATTCCTAGAAAGAGAAGCTGGTGCCGTGGGTAGATGTGGGACGGAGGCGCCAGCAGACAGCCCCTAGGCAGAGGGACAGGCTACAGATTGGAAACCAGCGAGCCGGGGGTTCCCACGCCCGCCCTGCGATTGGCCATCAGAGCCCAGGGAGCAAGCCCAGAGGCCGGCACAGAGCAAAGGACTCAGGCGCATCCGGCTGGAACAACGGCCTCCAGGCTTCTGCGGAGTTCAAGTCTGAACCTGGGACGTTTGCAAACTCCAAAGCGTAAGACCAGTTCGGGTGGTGGCGGAGCAACTACCCTCACCGGCCCACCCTCGGACCTCGCCCCCACCGCGGGCTCCGGGCGGCCCCGCCCGATCGGATGGCCGCGAAACGACAGGATAGGGACTGATCTCCCCAGCTTTCCGCCGAGGGCACGGGATACGCCCCCTGAGGAGGCAAAAGGCCCCCAACCAAGGGGCACCGGCCAGCGGGATAAGGCGCGCCTACCCCCCGGCGGCGGCGGCGGCAGCGGCGGGCGCGCAGTGCGCAGGCGCGGGGCAGGGCCAGTACCTGTGAAGGAGCAGAGAGACGTGGAGTTGGGGCACAGGGTCTCGTTGCCCACCCGCGGCACGAGCTTCAGGCTGAGGATCTGCTGCAGGAGCCCGGCCGACCCGCCGCTCCCTTCGCGCTCCATCCCGTCGCCATGCACGGCAGAGAGATGGGGGAGAGCGCCCGAAGTGCTGCCGAGCCTCGTTCCCACTCACGGCCCTCGCGGCTTGCCGCACCTCGGCCGCCTCAGCGTCACCTTCAGTCACGGCCCTCTTTCTCGCACTCCAACGGCGCTGCCAAGTGATGGTTCCGCCCTCCAATCACAGGACGGCGCAGATGGAAGGGGCGGGGCGAAAGATGTTGCCGCCCCTCACGTTGCGTAAGCTCACCGAGACCCAGCACTCACCGGCTACGCCGCCTACTGGGGAAGTCTCACCTGCTCAGAACGGCCCTTCTCTACAGCGCCACCTACAAAAGGTGGTGGAATTGCATACCCGCCCCCAGATCCTGGATGCCTATTTAAAACGGATCGGGCAGTCAGAACCAGGGGATTCTAACAGCCAAGTGAGGAGACTGGAAGACAGCGCAGCTGTACTTGCAGTTTTTGAAGGAAAAATGATATTTTAACTTAGCATGAAGGTAAACATGTATACAAAATAGATATAATTAAAAAATAGATACAATTTGGCCCTCCCTGGTGGCGCAGCGGGTTAAAGCACTGCACTAAGAAGCTTAAGGCACTTCCGCATGAGTTCGATCCCCGCCTGCCCCGGAGGAGATCCACATGGCGTGGCAGACCTCTCCTGACCCCCCCCCCCACTCCCTGCTCCCCCTCAACAGTGTACTTCGTTGATCTGCCTGTTCTGCTCCCCGCTCTGTCTCTGGTGAGTCGTCTCACCCTCCGCATCTCTGGCCTGTACCCCAGTTCTGTATGAATAAATAAATCTTTAAAAAAAAAGATACAATTTTATTTCTAGTATGTAAACTAAGATTGTTTATTAGTTTCCTCTTGAAACCTTCGTTTTGACTCTTTCTAGTGCCAGCTTTTTCATACTACAACTGGGATTCTACATCAACCAAGAAACTTTTCTAAAATTAAAACATTAAGTATAAAAAAGCCATGCTATCTTTAGAAATACTGTCTTTTGATTTTTTTCCCAGACTAATAAGATGTGTAAGTAGATGAAACCAATTTTTGGTTACATAACAAGTAATCATGTATCACATAATAGGAACTGTTATTTTTAATTTAGAATTCTATCTTAAAATTATGAATTGAGAGGCTAAAAAAAGGGAATTTAGATTTACAGGCCTTGAAAATTGTAGTTCTTGTGCCCTTTCTAAGAAAACTGAGTAAGTGCTCAAGTGAAGTTAAAAAATTGTTAACCAACAGTGTTATGCAATAAAAAAAATTGTAACAGGGTGGTCCCTAGGAAAAAGGGAAGTTTCTGGTTCCCTGCCCCACCCAGAAGGAGGGTGGAGCTGAGCAGAGAAAAAGATAAAGAAAGAAGGAAGCTGGATGGAGAGCCAGAAGACCTGAGGAAGCCACATGGAGCAGCAAGCATGTGATAAAGAAACGGTGCTTGTTTCCTGACCCTGGACTGGTTAAGGCAGATGTGGGTGAGATACCTGTAGGGAGGTTACTATAGCAGTGTTTATATTGATTTTGATTTTGCTCTTTTCCTCCCAGATTTGTCTGGCCATTTCGGACCCTTTTCCATGGGTCCCGGTCAGAAGGTGCTTTAGTCTAGTGGCAGCTTTCAGGCCTTGCTTTGGGCCAATCCCTTTTGGGTTGACTTTTGCCCACAAGGGGATGGGTAACTTCAGGTGTTTGATTTAGAAGTTATATTCTTTGTGTTCTGTATTGTATATTCACTGTATTAAAGCCCCTTTTCATTAAAGTTTTATGTTTTGTCTTCTTGTGGCAGATGGCAGAACCCACTTAGAACAGGCAGGATTTTGGGGCTTCAGGAGTATCCCTTTCCCCCTGTTCTGGAACAGATTTGGGATGCTCTATAACAAAATGATGGGTTTAATCAGGACTGTTCTCAGGAAGAATAATTGAATTCATTTCAAGTTACAGACAAAAATGGTTATGAAGCCCACATTTTAAATGACAGGGTGAAGAAGTTACCCTTTCCTTTCTCAATGGGGAAAAAACTGAAAGGCAATACAAAACTCCAGGAAAAACCTGCAAGAAAATTATGAAACAAATATAAGCAACCAAAAATCCAGGATAGTATTTTTTTTCTTCATGAATTCATCCCCTTACCACACTGGCTTTACTTATTGTGAGTACCATAACTGTAAAACCTATAGGAGACAATGTTGAACATCTTTATGGTTTCAAGAGAGTGAAGGGTCTCTTTAAATATAAAAAACAATGATCATAAAGGAAAGGTCAGTACTATTTTAAGAACCTGTATCATTCAAACATTGTATAAAGAAAGTAAAAAGACAAGTCAAAAATTGGGAAAATATATTTGCAGTATATATAGCTGACAACAAAAAAACCAGTAAGAAAATGACAGAGTGCTTCATCAAAAAGAAAATAACAAATGGTCAGAAAAATAAAGATGTTCTACTTCACTGCTAATCAGTGAAACACAAAATGAAATTTTAGAGTGGCTTTAGTTTTACAACAAAATTGAAAGTACAGAGATTTACCCATATAACATCTAGTTCTCTCTCACACATACACACATACCCTGCCTCTCCCACTATCAACATCACTGCCCAGAATGGAACACTTTTTACTAAGGGTGAATCTACACTGATACATCACAATCAGCCAAAGTGCATAGTTTTCCCTAGATTTCACTCTTGTTTTAGTGCACTGTTTGGGCTTGGTCATACAACCACATGTACCCATCATCCTGTTATTGTATCACACAGCACAGTTGACCCTTGAATGACAAATGTTTTAATTGCAGACATAGGTCCTTACATGTAGATGTTTATCAAATGTACTGGAAAAAATTTGGAAATTGGCAACAAGAAAACTCATAGGTAGGAATCAAAACTTATACAGTAGTTTTTGACTGCTCAAACCCATGTTATCACGTTAGCTTTATTTTCACTGTCCTAAAAATTCTATGTTCAGCCTATTCATCCCTCCCTTTCCAGCCCCAATCTGTGGCCTTTTTACTATCTCCATAGTTTTCCAAGTGTTAGCTACTTGGAATCACATAGTATATAGGTTGGCTTATTTCACCTGGTAATATATATTTAATATCACTTGCTAACATTTCTCTTTAGCACTGCATAATATTCCAGCACATAGGTAAACATGAAAAATGTTGTTGACCCCCGTGCAAGTAATGGTGGCAAGGAGGGAGGGAATGGTTTGTGAGAGGGTGGCAGTGGCATTCTGGATACTGCTCCAGAGAGCATAAATTGGCATTCCATTTTTAAAAAATATTAATTTGGCAGTAGACAGTGAACATGCAAATGTTCCTTGATCAAGTTCTACTTCTAGGAATAGTTGTGCTGATATACATTTGGTCATCACTGGGGCTTCTCCATTCCCGGAGCCTGGATTCCTGGGATGGAGACAAATCTTTTGATGGTGACAAAATCTTTTGTTTTGCCAAGGAATCTTCATTCCAAGGTCAATAAGGGATAAAATCTCCTTGGGCTAAGCCCCAATCCCTCATTAGCTCTCTGCCTTTATTTCTTCACCTGAGCTCATACCTATTGTCCCTTCATTTATTCAAAGTGAACATGTCCCCAGAGGCCTTCAGTGACTTCATGTTAAAGTACTATTTTTTTGTTTTTTCTTAGAGCACCATCACACTTAAAGCTGTATGTTTATCTGTTAGACTGTGTATTGGGGTCTGTGTGTCCTACAGGAGCAAGGGCTGTTCCTGCCATCAACTAGGGCCACTAACCAGAGGGCTCTGCGCTACCTGGCTGGGGCTGTCCTTAGTAACAAGGCTTTCTTTCCTGCCACCATTGCATTCCCAGAGTGACGCCTCCATGGTCAGCAACACAAGTGTTCATCTCCTCTGTCAGTAGCCTTAGTCTATTGACAGCCAGCTTTACCCAGCCAGGCATAGGACAATGTCTAACCTCTGGCCAGGCACCCTCTGGGTACTCTCTGCCTCTATCCAGAAACCTGGTGTGGATTTACCAGAAGCTTGCCTGAAGCCTGAAAGGCTAGGGAACTCTCCCAGAAGCTTGCCCAGGATGCTTGGTATCCAGGGCAACCAGGACTCACCTCAAGGCTTGGCAAGCTCAGTGAAGTCAGGAGCCAGTTACTCCTGTTCCTGGCTCCTTGAGAGACAAGTGAAAATGGATGAATCATAGAGCTACTCATTGCAAAAACTAATACAACCCATGACCCAGGCAGGGGCAAATGAAGTGTGTGGAACGGCACTAGTCAGCTTCCTCTGAGCTTCCTGCAAAAGCCTTCCCGGACCCCGCTAGGGATGCATGCCTTCTAGTTCTTCACACCATGAGCTTCATGCTCATCTTTCTTGGCCTGAACATACATCACTTGCCACTGGACTCATCCACTGGATAGTGCACTAGTTCTAGGCCTGCCCACAGTCTGCTTTTATCCCCAGTGGGTAGAGGATGGGAAGGTAACTCAGGGAGGGAGAGGCCAATGGAGGAACCACAATGTCTCAGCCAGCTACCAGAACACCCCACAACATTCTAGTCCTTGAGCTAGAGATATGCAGCCGAGTACCAAGAAGGCCATGAGACCCACTTCAATGCCAGGGGAGAAGGACCTGGCTTTCCTGCTGGTGCTAGGGTCCTTTGCTGTATTCCTAGTTTGATTTATTTGTTGTAACCTTAGTGTTGAAGTCAAGAATGTGAATCAGAGTCCTTGTTCATATATTAAGGTATGTGACCCAAACCTTTCTTAGATACAGAGCTCTTATTAATAAATCTACTTTAAATACAGTAAGATGTCTCAGCGATAATTTCCTAGAAACCGTTTATAAGAAAAGTGATTATAACAAAACCAATTTTACCGTAGGCTAATCAATATAAACAGGAGTTAAGTTCCTATGGCATATGTGTGGTTACAGAAAACACTTCTAACAGTAAACAATCATTTGTATTCATTCATTCATTTGCTTTTCCACCTGCTGATTCCAGTTCAGGATCACAGGTGCCTGGAGCCTGTTCAGAAAGTTTAGGGCACAAAGCGGACATCAACCCTGGATAGGACACCCTTTCCTTGAGGTGTACATCCTGCCTGTCTCACTCCCACTGAGACACCTCAGACATGCCAAGGACATTTCCTTTAATAGCAGAGGACACTGTGACATATTCAAGGACCATGCTACTATGATCTAAGTGAAAGTAAGTTTTATGGGGCTGAAGCTTCATCTTGAAGGTCAATATAATGTTGCTCCCAGCAAGAAGTAGAAAATACCGGAATGCCTGCTTTGCAGCAAGGATAGGGGTCCACAGTCCAGGTCTCAGCAATCCAAAGCCATGAATCAGAAGCTAGCAACCTTCAGAACCCCTTCTGGTGAGAGCAGTAGCAAAGGCAGCCACTTCATTTTTGAGGTAATAGGGAGAGTAGTTCTGGTGGCAAATGTCAGTCCCCAAGTTAACTCTGTACCCTAGAGGGATCTGGGGCATTTTGTTGGCAGGGATTCAAATCTGCTTCCCTACCCTCAGACTCCCCCACCCCATCCTTCTAACATTTACCAAGTACTTCCTGGTTCATCTCCCAGGCTCAGGACTAAAC